TCTGGCGCAGCAGGATTTGAGTCCCTGGCGGCGTAGTGTGTTACTGATGGTAGGCTTTGTTACTTTGGTCCCAGCTCTCTGCAGGTCATTCACTAGGTCCCCCTGTGTTTTTCTGGGATTTTTGCTCACCGTTCTTGTGATCATTTTGACCCCACGGGGTGAGATCTTGCGTGGAGCCTCAGATCGAGGGAGATTATCAGTGGTCTTGTATGTCTTCCATTTCCTAATAATTGCTCCCACAGTTGATTTCTTCAAACCAAGCTGCTTACCTATTGCAGATTCAGTCTTCCCAGCCTGTTGCAGGTCTACAATTTTGTTTCTGGTGTCCTTTGACAGCTCTTTGGTCTTGGCCATAGTGGAGTTTCGAGTGTGACTGTTTGACGTTGTGGACAGGTGTCTTTTATACTGATAACAAAAAAGTTCAAACAGGTGCCATTAATACAGGTAACGAGTGGAGGACAGAGGAGCCTCTTAAAGAAGAAGTTACAGGTCTGTGAGAGCCAGAAATCTTGCTTGTTTGTAGGTGACCAAATACTTATTTTCCACCATAATCTGCAAATAAATTCATAAAAAATCCTACAATGTGATTTTCTGGATTTTGTTTTCTAAATTTGTCTGTCATAGTTGACGTGTACCTATGATGAAAATTACAGGCCTCTCTCATCTTTTTAAGTGGGAGAACTTGCACAATTGGTGGCTGACTAAATACTTTTTTCCTCCCACTGTATATATCCACTACATAACTCTATATATCCACTACACCACCCTATATATATATATATCCCCTACACCACCCTATATATATATATATCCACTACACCACCCTTGTCACGACCTCCACCCAGGCTGCCTCCCCTCCTTGTTCAGGCAGGCTTTGGCGTTCGGCGTCACCGGCTTACTAGCCCCTTGTCACAATAGTTGAGAGACGGGTCAGACCAAGGTGCAGCGTGGTATGCGAACATGTTTATTAAACTGGATAAACACTGACAAAACAACAAAAGGCAACGAAACGAAACGAAACGTGACGTTGGAAGGCTATACACAAACAAGCCAAACTCACCGAAACACAAACAAGATCCCACAACCGAGGCATGCAAATGGCTGCCTAAGTATGATCCCCAATCAGAGACAACGAGCGACAGCTGCCTCTGATTGGGAACCACACCCGGCCAAACTACCTAGAGAATAACAGTGTCTCCAGGTCAGGGCGTGACACCACTGCCTCTCCTATATTCATCATTCCATTTGTCTTGTCTTGTCATTACACACACCTGGTTCTTATCCCCTCGTTAGTCCGTGTATAAGTGTTCCCTCTGCCCCCCTTGTCCTTGTGGGTGATTGTTTAATTGTGAGAGTAGTGTAGCTCGGTGGAGCTACTCGTACCATTTTGTTGCCAGGGTAGATATTTCCCCTGTGCCTATGTATTGTATGGAGATACCGTTACAGTGTATTGCCAGGGATGATAGTTTCCCCTGTGCCTGTTTCGTTTGTCGCTATTCCAGCGCATATTGTGTAAAGACGGAATAAACTCTGTATTTGGTGATTACCCTCCTGCGCCTTCCATCACACTCATCACAACCCTATATATATCCACTACATAACCCTATATATATCCACTACACCACCCTATATATATCCACTACATAACCCTATATACACTGCTCAAAAAAATTAAGGGAACACTTAAACAACACAATGTAACTCCAAGTCAATCACACTTCTGTGAAATCAAACTGTCCACTTAGGAAGCAACACTGATTGACAATACATTTCACATGCTGTTGTGCAAATGGAGTAGACAACAGGTGGAAATTATAGGCAATTAGCAAGACACCCCCAATAAAGAAGTGGTTCTGCAGGTGGTGACCACATACCACTTCTCAGTTCCTAGGCTTCCTGGCTGATGTTTTGGTCACTTTTGAATGCTGGCGATGCTTTCACTCTAGTGGTAGCATGAGACGGAGTCTACAACCCACACAAGTGGCTCAGGTAGTGCAGCTCATCCAGGATGGCACATCAATGCGAGGTGTGGCAAGAAGGTTTGCTGTGTCTGTCAGCGTAGTGTCCAGAGCATGGAGGCGCTACCAGGAGACAGGCCAGTACATCAGGAGACGTGGAGGAGGCCATAGGAGGGCAACAACCCAGCAGCAGGACCGCTACCTCCGCCTTTGTGCAAAGAGGAGCAGGAGGAGCACTGCCAATGCCCTGCAAAATGACCTCCAGCAGGCCACAAATGTGCATGTGTCTGCTCAAACGGTCAGAAACAGACTCCATGAGGGTGGTATGAGGGCCCGACGTCCACAGGTGGGGGTTGTGCTTACAGCCCAACACCGTGCAGAACGTTTGGCATTTGCCAGAGAACACCAAGATTGGCAAATTCACCACTGGCGCCCTGTGCTCTTCACAGATGAAAGCAGGTTCACACTGAGCACATGTGACAGACGTGACAGACGTGACAGAGTCTGGAGACGCCGTGGAGAACGTTCTGCTGCCTGCAACATCCTCCAGCATGACCGGTTTGGCGGTGGGTCAGTCATGGTGTGGGGTGGCATTTCTTTGGGGGGCCGCACATCCCTCCATGTGCTTGCCAGAGGTAGCCTGACTGCCATTAGGTACCGAGATGAGATCCTCAGACCCCTTGTGAGACCATATGCTGGTGCGGTTGGACCTGGGTTCCTCCTAATGCAAGACAATGCTAGACCTCATGTGGCTGGAGTGTGTCAGCAGTTCCTGCAAGAGGAAGGCATTGATGCTATGGACTGGCCCGCCCGTTCCCCAGACCTGAATCCAATTGAGCACATCTGGGACATCATGTCTCGCTCCATCCACCAACGCCACGTTGCACCACAGACTGTCCAGGAGTTGGCGGATGCTTTAGTCCAGGTCTGGGAGGAGATCCCTCAGGAGACCATCCGCCACCTCATCAGGAGCATGCCCAGGCGTTGTAGGGAGGTCATACAGGCACGTGGAGGCCACACACACTACTGAGCCTCATTTTGACATGTTTTAAGGACATTACATCAAAGTTGGATCAGCCTGTAGTGTGGTTTTCCACTTTAATTTTGAGGGTGACTCCAAATTCAGACCTCCATGGGTTGATAAATTTGATTTCCATTGATAATTTTTGTGTGATTTTGTTGTCAGCACATTCAACTATGTAAAGAAAAAAGTATTTAATAAGATTATTTCATTCATTCAGATCTAGGATGTGTTGTTTAAGTGTTCCCTTTATTTTTTTGAGCAGTGTATATCCACTACACCACCCTATATATATCCACTACATACCCCTATATATATATCCACAACATAACCCTATACATGTCCAGGGGTGTGTGCTATTCCAGTGTGCTTAGCTGCCAATTAACAAACAAAAAGGATATTTCTCTTAATCATCTGATCATATAACCTAAACTGTCCAGTGTCCACTTCATCAGCGAACTGTTTTATGCAGAGCATGCATGAAAACCAGATTGGGCAAGTCTGTCATTTATCGCAACAGTTTGTGTGGCAAAACTGTCGACAGAGTGGAAAATGGAATGGAAACACATTAAACTCATGTTTTTTATTCGGTACATGAAAACATAAGGAAAAGTGGTTAATGAAACACAGAAGGAAATAAGTTGAGGAAATTGGCTAAATATATCAGCCATGGCACAGTAAACCAAAATGGCTACAATGTGAGAATATTTTATTAAAGTTAATTTCAGACAGTATTTTTGAAGGTTTCACTTGTAAAGATGAGTATCACATGTAGTATAACTGACCCTTCCATTGTATGCTGAGTTGGATTCAAGGAGGAAGGAGAGCAAAGAAACAAACTGAGTTTCTATTTTTATAGATATTCAAAACAAATTTCTACAAATGTATAAAAATACATGAACAACATCTGCATACAAAAAAATACATTCATTTTCAAAATCAACAACGAAAAAAAAGATTACAATGCTAATATGAGGTACAATCTGAGGAAGACAATTGAACTGGTAACAAAAAGGTCAAAAATACAACATTTAAACATTTGCTAAATGGCAGTTAACTTCCTGTTTACTTCTAAACTGTGTTCATAACACAGTTCAGTGGGAGCATTTCTTCCTAAACGTTCTCAGAACAACAACCGAACAACCTTTGACTTCCTTTGACCATTGGCCAAGCGCTGGTCTAAGAAGCACATTGAACATGTTTTTTAGTCCAGGACTAGGGTTAACCAGTGTCTGGAATACCTGATCGTACTACTTAAGCCACCACATCTTTCTTTGGTCACCACAGTCATCTCATTGTCTTAGTCCAGCTATAGTGATTGCAAAAAAACTATACAGACCCCATCTCTTGGGGTTTACAGTAAGACCTACTTCTACTAGAAACTATATCTTGGTGACATTCCAGGTCTCCTTTTTTTCAGTTTCACTGCCAACCACATTACTAGTGTCCACATCATAAAATGAAGGTTCCTCAAGGGTTCTTTGGGAAAGGTGGTGGTTCTATGTGGAACCATAATGACTCCAATAACCATTTGCCATTTGAGCTCTTCAGTGGTTCTTTACAGTTCACAAAAGGATTCTTTGCTCTTTTAGTGATAATTAAAATGTAAGGGAGGCGGCTTATTAGAATATTTTGGGGCGTGTTTGCTCACAGCTCTTTTTTTATGCAACCGTGAGTGAGAGTGTAATTCCAGTTGATTTAATTTGTTGTGTTATGCCATTACATATTATATATGACTGTGGCCAGTGATGGTGTCTTGTGAAAGACTCACGTATGACCTTGTGTCAATTGAGAATGGTTGACTAAGTCAGTTAGTGGTTCTCAATTCTCTCCTCAGGGACCCTCAGCTGTTCCAGAGGTAGCTCACTTGATTCAACTTGTCAATTAATACAATAATAACACCTATAGAACTTTAACAATACAACATGGATGACCAGATTAAAAAACCCTTTATGGTTCTTCAAAAAGTTCTAAAAAGAACCTTTCAGATTGAGAGAGGTTATTTATAGAACCATTCTCCATAAAGGTTCTATAAGGAACCATAAAAAAAGGGTTCTATAAAGCCTCAAACAGGGTTGTAAGCATAGCGGAACCCTGTTTAGGTGCTACATAGAATCTTTCTTAATGGTTCTTTATAGAATGTTTAGGAAAAGGTTTTTTATAGCACCATACAGGTTGCATTTAAAACCTTATGAGCATTGTTCTTTATAGAACCTTCAAAAAATTATTCCATATAGCACCAAAAAGGGTTCCGCTATGGTTACAAGCCAAATAACCCCTAGCTCTTGGCGTAATGGCTAAGATGTTGGGGTTGACAGTCCCTGGATCCGGGTTCAAGTCCCTGTCAGGACTACCCTCCGAATTTGCTGCAATATGACGTAGCAATCTAGGCACCTAGATTTGCCCCATTTCTCCCATCTCTGACACAACATCCATGGACGTGTGACTGTCCTGATATGGACCCATGATTGTCGGATTGTGTGTGTCATCATCTGAACAGGAGCCAAAGGAGGCTGGCCAGACAGAAAAGCAGCCCAGAGAGGGCGTGTGTGTGTCCGGCTGAGGCGGATGGATGTGGGGGGCAGTCCGTGTAGGGTGGGATGCAGGCTGCGTAGGCCATGGCGTGGGCGATGTAGTTCTGCTCTTTGACCCCGTGGAAGAGGTGGGCCATGGGGCCCTTGGCGTAGATGGCCACGTCCTCCCCGCCGTGGGTCTCAGACTCCAGAGGGACTGCAGCCTGCTGCATGTACTCCTCATCGTCTGAGAACCAGAGAGGTTGTGGTTAAAGCCCAATTTGTGTACGTGTTTATAAACACATACAAGGCGCTTTCAAACTGCACCTTAGCCCAGGGCTAAGAGCGTCCTTAGCCCTGAGCTAAGGGAGATTTTATCCCGGGTTTAAGCGAGTGTTCACACTTGCGCACTGTAATGTGGGCTGGCACCAATCTTATCCCAGGGCTAGCTGGTCCTGCTCCGAAACCAGGGTTAGCACCGACTTTTCGAAGTTAGCCCCAGAAACACGGTGCCAAAATAGACAGTGAGAAACGGGGTCAAGAACCACGCCTAGACTGCTGCCTGTCCAATCACAAAAGCTGCACTGTCACTTAATTTACATATGCTGGTGATGCCTGTAATGTGTTCTGCTTGTTATCCAGACTATTTCATCCTTATATCTGAGGACGAAAACCAAAATACTTTCATCGGTGCAAAAACATTGGTTGCTATGCCTAACAAAAATGGTTGCTATGCAGGCTGGCTAACATCTAAAGCTACAAACTCTACAGCTGGAAGGGCAGCAAACACTCAATTTTCCTCTGTTTTCATAGATTTTCTATTGACATTTAATTGGATATATCCATGATAATAATATTGTTGCATGATTTTGCCTGGATCAGAAAAGTTGATGTCTCGTTCGTTCACAGCATTCTCTGTGAATTTCAAAAGGTAAACATTGTTTCCGAGGTCGGACAGGCAGACAGCAAAGGTTCACACAAACCATCACTGTTGGAAATCAAAATGCTAGGCTAGAGGCAAGGGGAAATAATGTGTTAATAAATGTCTTATCGCTTTATATCATTGGTCGCGTTACAGAGATAGAATGTTGGTCGCATGTGTGTTCGTCCGTTAGATTGTGGTATATTGTAGACCTTTTCATACTGTTTTGTTCTTAGCCCCAGGTTAGACTGGCCCTGGACTAGCTTATCCTGTGTTCACACAAGCATTTGTTAACCCTGGGCTAAGCTTAGCCCAGGGCCAGTCTAACCTGGGGCTAAGAACAAAACAGTATGAATGGCCTACAATATACCACAATCATGTACAAAAGAGGAACATGAGCACATCTGCAAGTACATACGTACATGCATGCACGCATGTGCACACACACATGCACACACATGCGCACACACACACACACACACACACAAACAATTCACATGCGCACACATTTGACAAAACAGCTACCGCCTGTATTATTATAATAGTTGTAGTATACTTACAGTAATCCACTGTATACTTACAGTAATCCACTGTATACTTACAGTAATCCACTGTATACTTACAGTAATCCACCGATGTGATGTTTCCTCTCGTCCCATTCGCATGTACGTAACCAGGACCGTTGGCATACAGGATGCTGGTGAATGGCATCCTATCATCTGCCTTCTTGTGTGCCAAACCTGACACAAAATGGTTGACATAACATGACGGTGAACATTACATTACATGCTGGACACAAAAATATCTGACATTGAAGTGAAAAGACAACTAAAAACATTGCACCTTTGACTGTATATCTTACAGTACGGTGTACATTTTAGGACATCCTTGCGATCCTTGAGGATGTCCTAAAATGGGCACTGTACTATCTGTACAGACGTGGGCCTAAGACTGTTTTGGGCCGTACCAAAGATGGGGTTTCCACGGGGGGTGTTTCCTCCGAAGGTGAAGACGTGGGAGTGGTCTGCGGTTACGACAGTGAGGGTGTCTGATTCTCTGGTGAGCCGGGAGGCTCGTTGCACTGCCCGGTCAAACATCACGGCCTCTGTCAGAGCCAGCTTGGCAATGCCATCGTGGTGCCCATGGTCAATTCTCCCTCGTAAAACAAGAACAACACAACTCAGAAAGGCCCCTTTGGTGTGAGGTTGAGGTGTGCCGATTGACTCAAGGAGAGTTGATGATTGACTCAAGGAGAGTTGATGATTGACTCAAGAAGTGGGGGCCTTAAGACTCAGGGTGTGTCACGCCCTGGCTCTGGGGACTCTGAAATGTTGAGCCAGGGTGTGTAGTTTCTGTGTTATATTTTCTATGTTGATGTTCTAGATCATTTAGATCTATGTTGGCCAGGGTGGTTCCCAATCAGAAGGCAGCTGTATCTCGTTGTCTCTGATTGGGGACCAGACTTAGGCAGCCTGTTTGGCACTAGTCGGTGTGGGATCTTGTTCCGTTAAGGTTTGTTTTGTGTAACCTAGGACTTCACGTTTCGTTTGTTTGTTGTTTTGTCGTGAGTTAAGTACTTAATAAAATGTACGCTTATCACGCTGCGCCTTGGTCCGTATCTTCCATAAACGATCGTGACAGGGTGTCCTAAAAATGTACATCTGTCTACTCCTTTATCATTGAATCCCAATTTGAGATCCTTGCATGAATCATTAATTGTAAATGTAAATGTGAAATTTGCGTGAACATTTGAGTAGCCTATCTCAATTTAGGACTTGACCCCTCTTGAACTTCTTACAAGAAACAATTCAGCTGCCACTACAACCACAGCTGTCATTACAACCACAGCTGTCAATACAACCACAGCTGCCATTACAACCACAGTTGTCAATACAACCACAGCTGTCAATACAACCACAGCTGCCACTACAACCACAGCTGTCAATACAACCACAGCTGCCATTACAACTACAGTTGTCAATACAACCACAGCTGTCAATACAACCACAGCTGCCACTACAACCACAGCTGTCAATACAACCACAGTTGTTAATACAACCACAGCTGTCAATACAACCACAGCTGCCACTACAACCACAGCTGTCAATACAACCACAGTTGTCAATACAACCACAGCTGTCAATACAACCACAGCTGCCAATACAACCACAATACAACCACAGCTGTCAATACAACCACAGCTGTCAATACAACCACAGCTTTCAATACATGCTGTCAATAATTGCTGTCAATAATTACAATATCATAAATGTTCAACAGAAGGCATCCTGGGTAAATTCTTCATCTCAGCGGTTCTTGCTGTAGCTGTATTGGTAATAGTGTTATGGGGACTGTATTACCCCATGCTACAGTATGTGTTTTGATTAAATAGAGGTACTCATCTTCTACAAAGAGGAAGTATCCTTTGGGGTTCTTGCTGAGGATCTGAATGGCCTTCTCTGTCATCTCAACGATGGACGGGTCACGTGTGGCGTTTCGGAAAACCTCAAACCGCATGTCCTTTGGCTCAAAGAGACCTGCCGCCACAAGAAGGAAAGAGAGAGGGAGGAAGAAACTAATAAAGAGAGAAAACCAATGTTGGGAACGCAGTTCATCTTGTGGTAACAGTTAATGACAGAAGTACGTTTTTTCCTGGTGAAGAAAAACTCAACGCCCCCCGTGCATGGCATCCATATTAGGAAATCATCAATCTCTCAGACAAAACTTCAGAGACAGTCTTATCATTCATTAGTCAACAGAATGGTTGCCACTCAAGAGATCATTCGGTCTTGGAACAGTTTTTGTTGAGTTTGCAATAATGCTGTTGGATAAGTGATTGTGTAACAAAGTTGCATAACCACTAAAGTTACCAACCTTCCTGGAATACCAGATGAGTGATAAGATCTGATAAGCCCTCCTTTGATTTTCTCTCGCATACTGAAACCACTTATGGGTTATCTTTCCTATGGAATCATCTATGTAACACCAACACCTGATAACCTTCATGTACCCTAGCGGCTAAGGGAATGTATGTTTCCGGGTGTTTGTGAGTGTGTTTGAGAGTACGTGTGGTTGTGTGTAGGATGTGTGCACGTGTGTGTCAGAGGAGGCTGGTGGGAGGAGCTATAGGACGACAGGCTCATTGTAATAGCTGGAATCAATGGAATGGTATCAAACATATAAAACGTATGGAAACCAGGTTTTACTCCTTTCCATAATTTCCATTCCAGACATTACAATGAGCCTGTCCTCCCATAGCTCCTCCCACCAGCCACCTCTGATGTATGTGTGTGTGTGTGTGTGTGTGTGTGTGTGTGTGTGTGTGTGTGTGTGTGTGTGTGTGTGTGTGTGTGTGTGTGTGTGTGTGTGTGTGTGTGTGTGTGTGTGTGTGTGTGTGTGTGCGCGCGTGTGCGCGAGTGTGTGTACCTGTACATGTTGGTTAAACCAACCTACCCAGGAGACGGTCAGTAGTCTTTACATTAATCTCATCAAACTGCTTCCTGTGCCAAACATACTGGGAATTCTTGTCCTGAAACACAGACATCGCAGAGACACAGAGGACACTGTGTGATTCATAGCTTTCCCATTGACGTCAAGAGATAACACAACATTAGTTACACCTAATAATTATACTGGCAATTATGTAGTAGATACCGGCCTAAGATGTATATTACACCTGGCTCATGTTCAGTGGGTAACAAATGGAAGAAAACATACTCTAACGTGATGTACAACCTGGACTTAGTCACTGTTACTAGCCGGCTGCCACCTGGTACTCAATCCTGCACCTTAGAGACTGCTGCCCTATGACATGGAATCACTGGTCACTTTAATAATGGAACGCTGGTCACTTTAATAACGTTTACATACTGATTTACCCATTTCATATGTATAATACTGTATTCTAGTCATGGCTCATCTTGTATAACTACTGCTGTACACACCTCTTCCTATGCATATACTGTCCAGCGGCAGCTCCTCAGAGGAGGAAGGGCAGGACCATCCTCCTCAGTGAATTTCAAAAAAATAAAAATGGTAAAACATTGAAAAAGTTATCCTTTTTAGATAAAACTGTACTAAATATATTCACGTCACCAAATAATTGATTAAAACACACTATTTTGCAAAGAAGGTCTACAGTAGCCTCAACAGCACTCTGTAAGGTAGCACCATGGTGTAGCCGGAGGACAGCTAGCCTCTGTCCTCCTCTGTGTACATGGACTTCAATACAAAACCTAGGAGGCTCATGGTTCTCACCCCTTTCCATGGACTTACACAGTAATTATGACAACTTCCGGAGGACGTCCTCCAACCTATCAGAGCTCTTGCAGCATGAACTGAGATGTTGTCCACCCAATCAATTGATCAGAGAATGAATGTAGTGCTGAAAGCATAAGCTACAGCTAGCTAGCACTGCAGTGTATAAAATGTGGTGAGTAGTTGACTCGAAGAGAGAGAAAGACAATAGTTGAACAGTTGTGAACAAATTAATTTCTTCCAAAATGAAGGAGAAGCAAGAGAGAAATATATATAGAAATTTTTTTTTCACTTTCAGTTTCACTTAGTTAGCTATCAAATACAGCTAGCTAGTTTAGCCTACTGAAACACCCTGCTCAAACAGAGGGATGCTATGTTAGCTACCTGGCTATGACTATCCAACACTACACTGGAACTCTTCCAAGTCAAGGTAAGCTTTTGGTTTTATAATTTATTGTCACCGGGGCCCGCCTGTTTAACTGCTTAGCGGGTTTACTAACGCGTTAGTTCTATTAGCTATGCTTCAGGCTGTAATACAGTCAAGGGGTGTGAATACTTTCTGAAGGCACTGTATATTTATATTCCGGAGTCTGATATTGCACTGTTGGAGCTAGGAACATAAGCAATTCACTGCAACTGCGATAACATCAGCAAAATATGTGTAAGCGACCAATAAAATGAGTAATGCTCATTTTAGTTTTCCATTGCAAAAAAGTTTTCAGTTGCAAAAAGTTTTCTATTGTGTGCCCTAATTAACATGACCATTACATTTATTTTGCCATTTTCATAAGGGAACTGGCTGAAGTTCTGTGGGGTTCTAACAGACAGGAGGTTCCAGAACACTAACACAGTTCTGTGGAATTCTACCAGACAACATGTTCCAGAACACTAACACAGTTCTGTGGAGTTCTACCAGACAACAGGTTCCAGAACACTAACACAGTTCTGTGGGGTTCTAACAGACAGGAGGTTCCAGAACACTAACACAGTTCTGTGGAGTTCTAACTAACAACAGGTTCCAGAACACTAACACAGTTCTGTTGGGTTCTAACAGACAGGAGGTTCCAGAACACTAACACAGTTCTGTGGGGTTCTAACTAACAACAGGTTCCAGAACACTAACACAGTTCTGTTGGGTTCTAACAGACAGGAGGTTCCAGAACACTAACACAGTTCTGTGGGGTTCTAACTAACAACAGGTTCCAGAACACTAACACAGTTCTGTTGGGTTCTAACAGACAGGAGGTTCCAGAACACTAACACAGTTCTGTGGAGTTCTACCAGACAACAGGTTCCAGAACACTAACACAGTTCTGTGGGGTTCTAACAGACAACAGGTTCCAGAACACTAACACAGTTCTGTGGAGTTCTAACAGACAGGAGGTTCCAGAACACTAACACAGTTCTGTGGAATTCTACCAGACAACAGGTTCCAGAACACTAACACAGTTATGTGGAATTCTACCAGACAACAGGTTCCAGAACACTAACACAGTTCTGTGGGGTTCTAACAGACAACAGGTTCCAGAACACTAACACAGTTCTGTGGAGTTCTAACAGACAGGAGGTTCCAGAACACTAACACAGTTCTGTGGAGTTCTACCAGACAACAGGTTCCAGAACACTAACACAGTTCTGTGGGGTTCTAACAGACAACAGGTTCCAGAACACTAACACAGTTCTGTGGGGTTCTAACAGACAGGAGGTTCCAGAACACTAACACAGTTCTGTGGGGTTCTAACAGACAACAGGTTCCAGAACACTAACACAGTTCTGTGGGATTCTAACAGACAGGAGGTTCCAGAACACTAACACAGTTCTGTGGGGTTCTAACAGACAACAGGTTCCAGAACACTAACACAGTTCTGTCGAGTTCTAACAGACAGGAGGTTCCAGAACACTAACACAGTTCTGTGGGGTTCTAACAGACAACAGGTTCCAGAACACTAACACAGTTCTGTGGGGTTCTAACTAACAACAGGTTCCAGAACACTAACACAGTTCTGTGGGGTTCTAACAGACAGGAGGTTCCAGAACACTAACACAGTTCTGTGGGGTTCTAACTAACAACAGGTTCCAGAACACTAACACAGTTCTGTGGAGTTCTAACAGACAACAGGTTCCAGAACACTAACACAGTTCTGTCGAGTTCTAACAGACAGGAGGTTCCAGAACACTAACACAGTTCTGTGGAATTCTACCAGACAACAGGTTCCAGAACACTAACACAGTTCTGTTGGGTTCTAACAGACAGGAGGTTCCAGAACACTAACACAGTTCTGTTGGGTTCTAACAGACAGGAGGTTCCAGAACACTAACACAGTTCTGTGGAATTCTACCAGACAACAGGTTCCAGAACACTAACACAGTTCTGTGGAGTTCTAACAGACAACAGGTTCCAGAACACTAACACAGTTCTGTTGGGTTCTAACAGACAGGAGGTTCCAGAACACTAACACAGTTCTGTGGAATTCTACCAGACAACAGGTTCCAGAACACTAACACAGTTCTGTTGGGTTCTAACAGACAGGAGGTTCCAGAACACTAACACAGTTCTGTGGAATTCTACCAGACAACAGGTTCCAGAACACTAACACAGTTCTGTGGAATTCTAACTAACATCAGGTTTCAGAACACTAACACAGTTCTGTCGAGTTCTAATATACAACATATTCCAGAACACTAACACAGTTCTGTGGGGTTCTAACTAACAACAGGTTCCAGAACACTAACACAGTTCTGTGGAGTTCTAACTAACAACAGGTTTCAGAACACTAACACAGTTCTGTCGAGTTCTAATATACAACATATTCCAGAACACTAACACAGTTCTGTGGGGTTCTAACTAACAACAGGTTCCAGACACATCCTTAGGTGTAAAGGCTCATACAATATCCCCTCAAAGTGACCAACAACGGACAGAATCAATGCGTACCTTTTGGGCCTTCATCCAGACATCAATGAGGTTCCTCTTGTCTTTGCGATCCCCTTTCCGGGACGAGGAAGTGGGATACTCAGGGTCTGGAGTTCCCTTTGGTGTCATGTACATCCGCCCCCCACCCAGGATAACCTGTTGCACCAGATATATACTTCATATTACTGTGTACATTCCACACACAGTACAGTACTTCCCAATCCTGGTCCTGGGGACCCAAAGGAGTGCACATTTTTGTTTTTGCCCTGGGACTAACACACCTAAATCAAATCAAAGGCTTGATGTTGAGTTGATTACTGTTACCACAGGGGGAACTGCTTTCCCCAGATTGTTTACTCTCTTTTATTTATTTCAACAAATCTGTCCTTCTGGAGTGCTAGGGCCAAAACTAAAATGTTAATCCCTTTGGGACTCCTCCCACTCTGCACAGATTGGTTGGGATCAATGTTGTTTCCACATAATTTCAACCCCAAAATGAAATATGATGACATTGAATCAACGTGGAAACATTTTTGCATTTGAAAAAAGTAATCAATGTAAAGGCATTTTGTCTTTTTTTCACCCAACGTTTAACCCAAATCCAACGATATGGTGAAGTCTTTTGTTGATTTCACATTAAATTCACTTCAGTTGACAACTCAACCAAACGTAAATCAAAACTAGACGTTGAACTGACATCTGTGCCCAGTGTGTTGGGACCAGGTTTGGTAAAATACTGCAGTAAAAAAGAATGACATGAGATGACAGTACACGTAGACTGCGATGCCCAATATAAGGCCTTTATGGAGACTTACATCGATGTCAACATTGGTCACCAGCTGTGTGGCAATGTCGACACAGCCCTGTCGGCGGGCACTAGAGGGAATGTCATCATCGCTGTACCAGCTGCGGCTCACTGAATGGGCATAGGCGGCAGCAGGAGAGGCATGCTGTACGCGAGTGGTGGTCACGATGCCAACCGACTTCCCTGGAACACACAAGCACACTGTAGATATCCCGTTGACAAACACAGAGGTGTACATTGTCCATATTAGGACACACTTCCACACATTTTACATCAACATTTACATTTACGTCATTTAGCAGACGCTCTTATCCAGAGCGACTTAGAAATTGGTGCATTCACCTTATAGCCAGTGGGATAACCACTTTACAATTTATTTATTTTATTTATTTTTGGGGGGGGTAAGGGGGGGGTAGAAGGATTACTTTATCCTATCCCAGGTATTCCTTAAAGAGGTGGGGTTTCAAATGTCTCCGGAAGGTGGTGAGTGACTCCGCTGTCCTGGCGTCGTGAGGGAGCTTGTTCCACCATTGGGGTGCCAGAGCAGCGAACAGTTTTGACTGGGCTGAGCGGGAACTGTGCTTCCGCAGAGGTAGGGGAGCCAGCAGGCCAGAGGTGGATGAACGCAATGCCCTCGTTTGGGTGTAAGGACTGATCAGAGCCTGAAGGTACGGAGGTGCTGTTCCCCTCACAGCTCCGTCGACAAGCACCGTGGTCTTTTAGCAGATGCGAGCTTCAACTGGAAGCCAGTGGAGTGTGCGGAGGAGCGGGGTGACGTGAGAGAACTGAACTGAACATGCACACACTATTCACTGACAGACACAAAAAAAAAAAAAAAAAAGATTCTACAATGGTACACATTTACAAAATCATATTGAGGCACACAAACATTTTCAGTAGACGCTCTTATTCAGAGGGACTAACAGGATTCTCACCTAGTCAGCTCAGGGTTTCAAACTTGCGACCTTTTGGTTGATGGCCCAACGCTCTTAACCACTAGGCTACCTTTCGCCCACAAACTCATTTATACTCGAGTCTACATCTACGGAACTGTTTACAGCCAACTCAATGTCCACAAATGTCTGGGAAATTGAAAAGTATTTTGCTGTGTGCAGGTCGTTAATCTGTTTTGGAATGAATCCCGGCCAAAATCAATGATTAACAAGTATAAGGGTTATGGGGTGTTAAAGGCCCAATGCAGCCATTTTTAGATAAATATCAAATCATTGCTGGGTAACAATTAAGCACCTTACTGTAATAGATTTCCATTCAAATGGGCAAAAATGGCTTTTGAGCAAAAAAAAAAAAAAACTATTTCTCAAGCAAGAGTGTTGCTACAACTGTCTGGGAGTGGTCTGAGTGGGGAGGGGAAAAGGGAAAACAAGCTGTTATTGGCAGAGAGGTTTGGAACTCTCTTTACTATTGGTCTATTAACCAATTTACCACATGGTGATGTCACCATGGAAAGCCGAAACTCCCGTCCACGCTAACCTGCTGATTAGAAGATCCTGTGTCGATTGTATTTTCAAACAGCAACTATGAGGAATTAACCCCACCTCTTTAAGGAATACCTGGGATAGGATAAAGTATTCCTTCTAACCCCCCCCCCCCCCCGCCCCAAATTGTAAAGTGGTTATCCCACTGGCTATAGGGTGAACGCACCAATTTGTGAGTCGCTCTGGCTAAGAGCGTCTGCTAAATGACGTTAATGTGCCCTTGAGCAAGGCACTTAACCCTAATTGCTCCTGTAAGTCGCTCTGGATAAGAGCGTCTGCTAAATGACTAAAATGTAAAAATGTAAATGTAAACACTGATCAAATTTGTTCACACTTTTACAGTGCGAGTTTCATCAGCTGTTGTAAAATATGATATAAAACACAGGAAAAATATAATGTTGACTGCACTGGGCCTTTAAGGGTGACTTAAGGGACTTTATTTTTGCTAGAGAACCCTTTATCAGATGATCGGTTTACTCCCAGATACAGTAGATAATGAGTTAAGAACATTGCACTTTAAATAACCTTGCAATCCTATTATCCTCATCTATCTATCTATGGCGGAGCGTGTGAGGGTGTGGATACAAGGAAATAGGAGATATATGTAATGATAGTGAACCTTGACCATTTGTATGCCCCGCCCCCTTGGTTACTGTTGTTACCTTGGTCAACAGTTTCAATTCCCCATTCAAACTACTGGAGAAAACCCCTCTCAATGATCTCAAACTGTGTTTTGATACACAATGAAATCAAACACAGACTACCCGTTGCTAATCTGAAGACTTTCGGTTATGTTTCGGTGAACTGTCGTTACAATTGCTTTACGGGGACTTGGTAAAATTAAATTTGTAGTGTGGCTAGCCACTGGATGGCTCTGAACGCATTGTCAGCATGCAGTCAAAGCTACTAACCAATTCTGGAGCTAATTAATGATCTAAAATCATATCCTGATGTCAACAGTAGAGGAGAGTTGTATTGATAATATAACGTTGGCTAACTTAACTAGCTAACATGCATTTGGAGAAAATAAGTTATATTAACTGGCTAGCTAGCGTTAGCAATGTTTTCAATTGTGGTCAATGAGACACTTTTGACTACTTTGATACACTATAAGTGAATTTGTCCAAATACTTATGACACCTTCAAATGGGGGGACTAGATACACAAAGTGCATTCAATTTTAAAAGGTCAAACGGATATGTATGAAAATACCCTCAAATAAAAAAGGTGACATTCTGTACTGTCGCCTCATATAAAACATCTCAAATCCAAAACGCTGGAGTTTAGATCCAAAGTGAAAGGTTTTGCTTCACTGTCCAAATAAATATGTAGGGGAGAGCACGTGTAGATAGTACATTTTATGTTTAAGTTTTCAATATATCACAAACTGTTTCTGCATATTGGTTAGTGATTTGGACACTTTAAAACTGACTAAATTTTTTTTTTTACATCTGGCTATTTATCAAAAGTTATTGACAGGAAGCAGCGACAGCTTAATTTTCAACTTATGTTTTAGGGAATATAAATTGAACTTTCAACATACATTTTCAATAGTATTCAACTTAACCAGGTAAAAACTGCCGAATGAGTCCAAAAACGTGCTGTGATTGATTACTTTTGATGATATACCAGAAATAATCTAAACAGGTTTCGCCCTGCCTACGCTGACATTGCAGCTGTAGCTATTTTTAGCTCATTCTGGTTCAGTCTTGTCAAATTGGAGTCGGAGTTGAGAGTGTTGACTCCGATAGCAGGAGTCGACTCCAAAAATCCTGGAGTAGTTCACCACTATTGAAGCTATAGCTACAGAAACAAAATAGGTTAGCGGCAGTTGCTATCCACCGGAGCGCTGCGATTGGTTTTCCAAAATGTTGGGGCGGGGCTTAGCGAAGGGTCAATATTGCATTGGAATGTGTGTGGGGTGGCTGTGAATGGGTAGTGTAGGTGAGCCTTTGTGTGTGTGTGTGTGTGTGTGTGTGTGTGTGTGTGTGTGTGACTGTGTGTTTTATGTGTATTTCGTTTTCGCTTGTCTGCATAAATATTAGCATGCTGCGGTACACCATACCTTGTGCTTTGGCGCGATGTAGCACGGAGTACACCTCATTGCCGAAGGTGGTGTTACACTCGTAGGCCACTGCGTTGGCACTGAGGCCCACTGTCTTAGCATTAGCCTTCACTCCGCAGTGGTACGCTGTAGCCGTGCTAGCGCTGTCTGCTACCTGCTTATCAACACTGTACGTCTGTATGGCACAAAACAAACACGTACACGCTCAAATTATGGGCATAGCGATACATAAGTACTGTAACAAAACTTTTTTTTAAATCAGGTCCCTGTTTATCTACATTATTTTGTTTGCCATTCAGTGCACCTCAACTGATGAGTGTGAGAGATGCTGGAACGGACACCGAAGAGACCGGAAATTCTTATTCAAATGTGGAGAATTCAAAGAGAACTAAAAGATTTTGGGATTATGCTTGGCTAACTTCTTTCTGACCTTAGACCTACATTCTGTGTTTCCTGCTTTCACCACAATGGTTGCATTTTCATTTTAAATGTCAAATTAAACTTAAGCTGTGTAACATTTTCTCACAACAACACCAAGAGGACTGTACTGAGCTGTAGTAGGGTGAAATGGGACAAGAAACAAAATGTCAAGAGAAGAGAGCATGTAAAACAGCTTCCTTAAATGAAACCAAGGAGTGAGTGTTCGAATGGAAGCATAGTGGGAGGTTTAGGATGCAATAGTGCAGGGGTTCATCCAACCTTAGAGAGGGCAAGGTAAGGGAAGGTATCCATGGCGAGCACTGTCTCCTCTCCCGACCTTCCTTCCATCTGTCCCCTCAAGATGCGAGCCGCGGACACAGTGGACACACCCATCCCTGAGTGACAGATTGGATGACAGTGATGACATTGATAGGCTCCGCCCTCATTAATGTGCTCTAAGACTAACACATCCTATTTCCTAATGTTTTTAATTGAGAAGCCTCTTATATTGATACAATTATATCTTTACTGAACAAAAATATAGACGCAACACACAACAATTTAAAAGATTTTGCTGAGTTACAGTTCATATAAAGAAATCAGTTAATTGAAATAAATAAATTAGGCCCTAATTCATGGATTTCACATGACTGGGCAGGGGCGGAGCCATGGGTGGGCCTGGGATGGCATAGGCCCACCCACTTGGAAGACAGGCCCACCCACTGGGGAGCCAGTCCCAGCCAATCAGAATGTGTTTTTCCTTACAAAAGGGCTTTATTACAGACAGAAATACTCCTGAACATTCTGTCCGATCAAACACCTCTCCATCACGGTTGACAACGCCACGGTGTCCCTCTCGCAGAGTGCAAAGAACCTTGGCGAGACCCTGGACAACATGCTGTCATTCTCTGCAAACATCAAAGCAGTGACTCGCTCCATGCTATACAACATTCGTAGAGTACGACCCTACCTCATACAGGAAGCAGCGCAGGTCCTAGTCCAGGCACTTGTCATCTCCCGTCTGGACTACTGCAACTTGCTGTTGACTGGGCTCCCTGCTTGTGCCATCAAACCCCTGCAACTTATCCAGAACTCTGCAGCCCACCTGGTGTTCAACCTTCCCAAGTTCTCTCATGTCACCCCGCTCCTCCACACACTCCACTGGCTTCCAGTCGAAGCTCGCATCCAGTACAAGACCATGGTGATTACCTACGGAGCAGCAAGAGGAACTGCCCCTGCCTACCTTCAGGCTATGCTCAAACCCTACCCCCCAACCCGAGCACTCCGTTCTGCCACCTCTGGTCTCTTGGCCCTCCCACCCCTACGGGGGGTCAGCGCCCGCTCAGCCCAGTCAAAGCTCTTCTCTGTCCTGGCACCCCAATGGTGGAACCAGCTTCCCCCTGAAGCTAGTACAACAGAGTCCCTGCCCATCTTCCGAAAACATCTGAAACCCTACCTCTTCAAAGAGTATCTTAAATAAAGGAATGCACTAACTCTGGATAAGAGCGTCTGCTAAATGACTAAAATGTAAATGTAAATGACTCATGAAGAAGAAGAAGAAGAAGAAGTTCCTCATAAATATGACAAAATAGACCTTTCATGCAGAGTAGAAATTATGTCAGCCATTGACAAAACACTTGGACCTTATGTCCATGTGCATCCCAAAGCAACTCTACTCTCTTTAAACCACATTCGTTGGATGCACGCCTGAGCCTCAATAACTACCATTCCAATGATTTATCCAGCACAGAGAATTGACAAAGAAATGGCTGTGCTCTGCAGTGCCAGATAATGCCGTGCTTTACATAAACCACATCTGGTTATCATATGTCTACGGTTCTGCCTCTTTACCGTCCCCCAGGAAGAGGATGATGTTCTTGGCGCGGTGCAACCGGGGGCGGAGTCTCAGCGCGGCTTGGAGCGTCTCTTTGGCCTGAGCATTCCAATAGGCTGGGTCCCTCTCTTTCTCCTGCGCCGCTATATGAAAGGAACACAAAAGCACGTTGAGACAGTTGAGTACACATCTTTCCTAGGGGACTTGGGTTCTGAGGAGGCGTCAAAAAGGACAAAAGCAGTTAAGAAACACCTTGATGACTCTCAGTGTCAGATTCTTCCCGCAGAGAGAATAGCAGCAGCAGTCATGATGGTGTGAGGAAGACTGTGAGGAAGACTGTGAGGAAGACTGTGAAGATGACTGTACACAAAAACAACGGAAAGACAAACAGTCCATCCATCCCGTTGTGTCATAACACTTTACATAAGCTGGATCTGACACACACACATACACACACAGACAGACACACACACAGACACACAGACACACAACACACACACCTGACCACAGTTACTCATGAACTTCTGCTGAGGTTACCTGTGAGACAAACTACGCCTGAGGTTACCTGTGAGCCCATCCATCCGCCCGTCCACCCAGACCAGTGCTAATATATACCGGCAGGGACAATGCCATTGCTGGGTCCTCAAACCTCACCTTCGGCTGTGGCAATGCTCCCGGTAGCGGCGAGCAGGAGAGGGAGCAGCCTGAGGGCCCAGCTCTGTGGTGATGCCTGCATCACTGGCCTGGAGGATGGAAAAGCTGTCCCACCGACCCACACAGCATTCAGGAGGAGAGGAGAGTGTGCCTCCCCAGACCTCCAGCCCAGCCTTTTAAAGCTCAGGGTGTGTTGCAAGCAAGTGCCCTAGCCAGCTCATAGGCTTAGGCAGAGAGCGAAGGAGAAAGGGGAAGCAGGGACCACACAAGACCAAACTCCTCCAGTATCATTCCACACTCAGAGGAGCCCCTCTCTCTTAAATGGCTTGCTCTTTTTTAACCAACCCCCCCCCCCCCCCCCCCCCCCCCCCCCTCTCTCTTCTCTCCAGCTCGCTCACTAGAAATGAGTATTATTTAAAATGTAAATGTCCCTTTGATGTGGGAAATGCTCGAATGTGTATTTTTATACGGCAGTTAATTTAACAGAAAGGAAAAATGGCTGCCCCAATGTGTGTTGGCATTGACGTAATGCAAATCACAAATTACTCTCTTTTCATTTCTGAAAAATAGTGAAATGTGAGAATGTGCAATTCCCCGTTCTTCTGCTTGGGGATATTGTTACTGAGTCATGATCTGAGCTGTGCTTTTCATGTTGGAAAAGGTTCACATTTCCATTTTCTTTGCTTTAAAGGGGAAATTCACCCCAAAACAACGTGAAATGTGTTCTTTGCATGTAAAATAACCTCTACAGTACGCTATGTAATAATCCAGTAACGTTGGCGGTTTTTGATGGGAAGTAATGAGATGTAAAGTGGGTTGCATTTTTCTTCCATGAGGCAGTGGAGACTGCCTGTGGTGTTAATAAATAAAAATGTTTCACAAAGACAACAGTTAGTGTGTGAAACGAGGTGACGCGAGCCAACATTGTTCCCTAAACTCCTACAACCACTGACTGACTCCAAGGTTTGGGTCTTGATGTTGAATGTCGAATGTTGATGTGAAAAAAAAACAAAGGCTTGTTGAGGGGACGACTGCATCCTGTTATCCCTGTTGCCATGAGAAACCTCTGCCATTTCGCCAGTGACTCACACACAGGGTAGCAGATTTTTGGTGAGTCACGTGTGCTTTGTGCCTAATCAAGCCTAATTAAAAAGAGGAATCAGAGCAGAGGGGCGTCACATGTTATGGCTAACAGCACATATACCACCATAGAAACAGAATAAATAGAATGGGGAAAAAAAAGCTCCATCACAGAACATTGACTTGAATGGAGGGGGGATGTCTGTTCAAGTCATTCTATTTCTATGTGCACCCACACCAACCAAAATACCAGAGCAGACACAGGAGCCTCTGAGCTTGTGGGGGCACGTCTGTCCATTATAATGAGGGATCTGTCTAGTCTCTAAAAAGGGAAGGCTGGTTTAGGTAAAGAGAGTGGATGGGTTTCCATCAAGACCAGTGAAAATACCACCAGCTCTGTCCATCAAGACGAGTGGAAATACCACCAGCTCTGTCCATCAAGACGAGTGGAAATACCACCAGCTCTGTCCATCAAGACGAGTGGAAATACCACCAGCTCTGTCCATCAAGACCAGTGGAAATACCACCAGCTCTGTCCATCAAGACCAGTGGAAATACCACCAGCTCTGTCCATCAAGACGAGTGGAAATACCACCAGCTCTGTCCATCAAGACGAGTGGAAATACCACCAGCTCTGTCCATCAAGACCAGTGGAAATACCACCAGCTCTGTCCATCAAGACCAGTGGAAATACCACCAGCTCTGTCCATCAAGACGAGTGGAAATACCACCAGCTCTGTCCATCAAGACGAGTGGAAATACCACCAGCTCTGTCCATCAAGACCAGTGGAAATACCACCAGCTCTGTCCATCAAGACGAGTGGAAATACCACCAGCTCTGTCCATCAAGACCAGTGGAAATACCACCAGCTCTGTCCATCAAGACGAGTGGAAATACCACCAGCTCTGTCCATCAAGACGAGTGGAAATACCACCAGCTCTGCCCATCAAGACGAGTGGAAATACCACCAGCTCTGTCCATCAAGACGAGTGGAAATACCACCAGCTCTGTCCATCAAGACCAGTGGAAATACCACCAGCTCTGTCCATCAAGAAGAGTGGAAATACCACCAGCTCTGTCCATCAAGACCAGTGGAAATACCACCAGCTCTGTCCATCAAGACGAGTGGAAATACCACCAGCTCTGTCCATCAAGACCAGTGGAAATACCACCAGCTCTGTCCATCAAGACGAGTGGAAATACCACCAGCTCTGTCCATCAAGACGAGTGGAAATACCACCAGCTCTGCCCATCAAGACGAGTGGAAATACCACCAGCTCTGTCCATCAAGACGAGTGGAAATACCACCAGCTCTGTCCATCAAGACGAGTGGAAATACCACCAGCTCTGCCCATCAAGACGAGTGGAAATACCACCAGCTCTGTCCATCAAGACGAGTGGAAATACCACCAGCTCTGTCCATCAAGACGAGTGGAAATACCACCAGCTCTGTCCATCAAGACCAGTGGAAATACCACCAGCTCTGTCGCTCTTAACACAGCTTCTCCTCCACCAACATATTACCGCCTGTCAGTTAATTACTTAGAAAGCGTGTTTTTTAACATGACTGATTTTTCCTCCTAAAGCACAGAAGAGTACGGCAGTCATCAAGACTCTGACTTCAGAGCAGATGACTGATGACTTACTGTAATTATTATATCCTGGTGAACTTGTCAACATGCTCCAAGACTCAATTACTGCGGAGAGTGACAGAGTGGAATGTAATGGAACCGCACTTTATGATCACACTAACCCTGTATACACCATAAACACGTACCCTGTATACACCATAAACACTAACCCTGTATACACCATAAACATGTACCCTGTATACACCATAAACATGTACCCTGTATACACCATAAACACTAACCCTGTATACACCATAAACATGTACCCTGTATACACCATAAACACGTACCCTGTATACACCATAAACATGTACCCTGTATACACCATAAACATGTACCCTGTATACACCATAAACATGTACCCTGTATACACCATAAACATGTACCCTGTATACACCATAAACATGTACCCTATATACACCATAAACATGTACCCTGTATACACCATAAACATGTACCCTGTCTCCACCATTAAACACGTACCCTATATACACCATTAAACACGTACCCTATATACACCATTAAAAACAGACACTATATACACCATTAAACACGTCCCCTGTATACACCATTAAACACTAACCCTGTATTCACCATGAACAGGTACCCTGTATACACTGTTCAACACTAACCCTGTATACACCATTAAACACTAACCCTGTATACACCATGAACACGTACCCTGTAAACACTAAAAAACATGTGCCCTGTATACAGCATTAAACACATACCCTGTATATACCTTTAAAACATGACCTCTGTATACACAATAAACATCTATCCTGTAAACATCATTAACACGTACCCTGTATACACCATTAACACGTACCCTGTACACACCATAAACATTTACCCTGTATACACCATAACCACGTACCCTGTATACACCATAAACATGTACCCTGTATACACAATAAACACTAACCCTGTATATACCATTAAAACATACCCTATATACACCATACACATGTCCCCTGTATACACCATAAACATGTACCCTGTAAACATCATTAACACGTACCATGTATACACCATAAACATGTACCCTGTAAACATCATTAACACGTACCCTGTATATGCAATTAAACACTAACACTGTATACACCATAAACATGTACCCTGTATACACCGTAAACATGTACAATGTATACACCATTAAACACTAACCCTGTATACACCATTAAACAATAACCCTGTATACACCATAAACATGTACCCTGTATACACAATTAAACACTAACACTGTATACACCATAAACATGTACCCTGTATACACCATAAACATATACAATGTATACACCATTAAACACTAACCCTGTATACACCATTAAACACTAACCCTGTATACACCATAAACATGTACCCTGTATACACCATTAAATACAAACACTGTATACACCATTAAACACTAACCCTGTATAAACCATAAACATGTACCCTGTATACACCATTAAATACTAACCCTGTATACACCATTAAACACAAACCCTGTATACACCATTAACATGTACCCTGTATACACCATTAAACACTAACCCTGTATACACCATAAACCTGCACCCTGTATACACCATTAACATGTACCCTGTATACACCATTAAACACTAACCCTGTATACACCATAAACCTGTAACCTGTATAAACCATTAAACACTAACCCTGTATACACCATTAAAAACCAACCCTGTATACACTGATAACATATACCCTGTATACACCATTAACATGTACCCTGTATACACCATTAAGCACTAACCCTGTATACACCATTAACATGTACCCTGTGTACAGCATTAAACACTAACCCTGTATACACCATTAAACACTTACCCTATATACACCATTAAACATGTACCCTGTATACACAATTAAACACTAACCCTGTATACACCATAAACATGTACCCTGTATACACCATTAAACACTAACTCTGTATACACCATAAACACTAACCCTGTATACACCATTAAACACTATCCTTGTATACACAATTAAACACTGACCCTGTATACACCATTAACATGTACCCTGTATACACCATTAAACACTAACCCTGTATACACCATAAACACTATCCCTGTATACACCATAAACATATACCCTATATACACCATTCAACATTAACCCTGTATACACCATAAACACTAACCCTGTATACACCATTAAACACTAACCTTGTATACACCATTAAACACTGACCCTGTATACACCATTAACATGTTCCCTGTATATACCATTAACATGTACCCTGTATACACCAATAAACACAATCCCTTTATACACCACTAAACACTAACCCTGTATACACCATTAAACACTAACCCTGTATACACCATTAACAAGTACCCTGTACACCATTTAACACTAACCATGTATACACCATTAAACACTAACCCTGAATACACCATTAACATTTACCCTGTG